TCGCAACACCTATTTTTGCAAATATATTACAAAATGATGAATATGCAACTTTTATTTTCATAAAAATAATAATGTTTTTACAAAATAATAACTGCGCAGATTTTGTCAAGTCTAAAAGTCAAAAAAAATGTTAAAAAAATCGGAAATCAGTAATCAGAAATTGTGATTACTTTTTTTTAATGTTCTTCAAATTTCATAATTTTGCAAACTGCAATAAAAAAAAAGTAATCACTGATTTCCGATTTCTTCAACATTTTTTTTGACTTTTATAGTGGTTAAGGAAGAAGCCAACAAGCACGCAGGAAAGGTCGATCCAAAAACTCACTGAGCTGGCTGAATTGACCCCAACGAATCGGAACAAAGGGCCAAAGACAAAGGCATAGTTTTAGCGGAGGATTATAATAAGGTAGTAGACGAACAGAAAAATACAAAAGCAGAATTAGATACAGAAATGACATTACTTTCGCCAATACCTTTTCCTTTCAATTCAAAGTTCAGAGTTTGTAGGATCTATTTCCCAGTACATTATGAATTCGGTACGGAAGTTCTATAACAATAACTCATAAAAAAAATTATAATAGCTCTAATGCAAACTCCATCTTAACAATACACTGTATACGTATCACCAGAATAGCGAGTAAGATTAGTATGCAACTACAGAACCTACTCGCCATTCCGATAACACATAGTGTGGTTAAGGTTAAGTAATTTCTATCGTGTTACTGTAAAAAATTTCGTTACAGAATTCACTTAGTTGGGGTTATGTTTTATTGGAAATATCATTCTGCTACAGACTTATCCACTATTCCAGTGATATATAGTGTGAGGTTAGAGTTAGTTTGTAGTTGGAATTATCGTGATTTCTATTATGTTTACTATAAAAAAATTATATAAAGTTTACCTGCTATTGCGGTAGCACACAAGTAGTAAAGGTTGGGTTGGCTAGTATTGTTGAATTACATTACAGTACTATGATCTTTAACGACCAGTGGTTATCAATTCATCATACCGGCAAAAAAATTAAAGAAAAACTCAAAAAATAGAAGCATAACATTAGACAGGATTGACATAAAAGTGCAAAAGGATACCTTTTTATTAGGATTTGAGTTGTTTTAAACGATCCTCAATGCAACAGACATGTAGATGTAATATACATGTGTATCTACATGTACATCTATATCTATAAAAAATGGCGGATGTAAAAATTTCCATTTTAGGGGTACGTTACACGGTCATATGTAACAAAGATGAGCATGCCAAAATTTTAAATGATCCTATAACTCTGATTATTTATTTGAGCAAATGTTTTTATAATTCTGAATCCAGGACGCAACAAAAAATTTATTGAAGAAAACACAATGAATTCAAATAATAACTAATGTCTCGATATTATTAATAAAAACTTTGAGCCATTGCATAAAATTGGAGAATTATAATTATTTTAAAAGAAATGAATATTCCAAATACCTAGAAAAACTGTAATCATAATACTTTCTAGCTGTAATAATTATTACGTTTATTGAGTTTATTCGAAATAAATAAAATGATTAATTTATTGCTTATCGGTATTATTTTGTTAGTCTATAAATTTTGTTTGTATTTTTTGTTCAAGTTACATGAATTTTTGGTGCTCGATATATTTGCCACGTGAAGTTCGAAACTTTTTTGGGTGGCTATTTTACCTCGGTCATTACATTGTAATTTGAAATATACACGTTTTTGCACAAACTAAACACACTAAACACGACTGAATTGACTTGTAACTTCGATTCGGCTTATTAAGACTCGGTTTCTGAAACGTTTGCGTAATCAGATATCGTCATTTCCAGTAATGACTTGCGAGAATTGTGGTAAAGAACGACACTTAAGATTGGTTACTTGACTCGGTTAATCCATCACATGAACTTGAAGTTACCACTGATATCATTTAATCATCCGTTTTTGCCTTATCATCACCCTTAAGATCTTTATCCCTAATAAGATATCCTTAAAATTATCATCATTGTCTTGATATCACCCCTTGATCATTGATATTAAAGTATTCGCTTCGTAGTGTCATACTGCACAATTAGTCCTCTAACAAATATAAAAGACCCTCTTCGCTCCTCTAAATTTATCTTTATCTCTCTATACCGTTGGAGTTAAATTGACCTTTCATCTATATTATTTTCTTAAGCTTTCCCATCAACGGTTACACTACTTTCTTGCTTTTGCTTTAGGTAGGCATCAGAAAAGCAATAACCTATATCTTCAATAGCCAGACAATGGATTACTACTTAGTGAAAGAACGATGGTTTGCTTAGGAAACTGACATTTATTATGTAAATATGACCCCCTCACAGAGGACGCCCCTAGCTCTCCCACAAAAAATTGTTCACCCCTGTAATTTTGGCCAATCGAATTTCAGGATCAGGTGTAACGTAAAAATCGAAACGAACCCATTTTTTTTACAAAAAAACAAGAATAACTCTAAATTTTAATTAGGAAACCGCCTTCTGCGGCCTATTAAAAATGTTTCTCGTGATATTTTACTAGTAAGTATTATATTGTTCTAATCCTAACCCTAATTATAACATGGTTTTCTTAGTTTTCATTTTACGCGTAAATTTTTACTTAGAAACAAAACACGTTTGTTTTGACAATTTTTTGTGGGAACGCTACCTAAAATCTCATGGAGCATTCATTTGACACAATTACAAATTCTAAAATAACCAATCACATAAAGTTTATATTATGATATGATTACTTTAGACGACATCCGTAATTTACGTTAAACTAGTACCGCATAAAAATAGTAATCTTTATAATAATACCATGTGGCATTATTTTCGGGCCTCTATCATTTTCACGACATCTAATTTGGGCTAAGAAAAATGATAGGATCTGATTATTTTCGTATTATCTTTAAAATTCTCATAACCATAAGGTTTATCGTAAATTATGGATGCCCCTTAGAACTTATAATTGTCAAGTAACTGATTCTGGAGGGGTCTATATTTGCGTAATAAGTGTCAGTTTTCTTAAAAAAATCAATTTTATTAATAATGGACCATATTACATTTGGGCCCCTAAAAGGCATTTGTTTGTTTAAAAAAAATATTTAAAATCACCTGGTTGATTTTTGTATACAATTATCAAGAGGAGCCATTTTACGGTTAAATCTGTTTTTACAAATGATTTCATATATATTCAGCATAGCGGGCTTTCATTGTAATTGGCTGATTTTTGTAGATCATCCCGTGATATTGCAAAAATACCATTGGTTAATCGAAATTATTCGCAAGGCAATATTTTATACGAAACTAATTATCATAACAACTAAATATTCAATACCGTATAAAATTAAATTGTATGAAATAAATTACTACGAAATTTAAAAACTCAGAGTCTAAGATCATTATCCCGATACAAATAGAATCATATAATCCAAGATCTTATTTTAAAAAAAATACTATTACACAAGATAAAATAAAAATAATAATAATAAGCACGAAAAAAATGACCCATTTATTTAAGAAGCAATAAAAAAACTATATAAACAAATTTTAATTGTAATATAATAATAGTTAATTAATACCAAAC